TCTAGTATCACCAGCTCGTTGTAATGTACCAATTTGATTAAGACCTCTACCGTCTCTAACTCATCAATAGAAATCTTATATGAAATTTCATCAGCTTGTGCATCTCTAAGTTGGTCGGCACGCTTGGAGGAAGCACCAACAACATTGACAACAAAAGATAATCGAGTAAAAAACTTCTGTAATGCAACAACTCCTCGTGAAGCGGTTATTAATGCTAATTGCAATCGATGGGCAAAACAATGAACATAATACGCAAATGGACAATCATTTGAAATCAATGCTTGCAAACCCTTGAAATTACCTCGCATATTGCTTGCACCATCATACCCTTGCCCACGGATTGACTTAAGATCAAGATTATTATGTGACAATACAGAATAAATTGCATTCTTAAGCGTTTGTGTTGTAGTGTCAGGTACATGAACAAGCCCAAAGAAACGCTCCATAACAAAGCCATCTTTATTTAAAAATCTCAAAACAATTGACATTTGTTTTTTATTAGACTGATCACGTGCTTCATCAACAACTAAACAAAATTTTCCACCATCAACTATAATATCCGATTATGTATAACAGACATTAGAAGGCTTAAAATCGGGGAGGCCATGGCCTCCCCCAGCCCCTAAGACAGTCCGTCATTGTTTCCACCCATTTCCTTTCCTTTATCTCGTTAAGTTGAACTCAGGAACGGGGTGTAAGAGTCAGGCGAATGGATCTAATAGGTTTATTTTTTTTTTAAGGGAAATCTCCAGAAAATCTCAATATTTTAGTTAAGTTTATGAAAAGTTCTCAAATTTTATTTTGTTAACAAGAAGTCCGGATTACCGGATAAACACTTCAAATCAACCATTTTTTTACCAGTAAACTATTTTTTTACCATGTTACCGTCAAAAAATTCATAATATTTTGGCCAAGTTTTTTAAAAATTTTTATTTCATTTTACTTCAACTCTTTTACTATTTTATTAAAAATATAGAAATTTCTTGGTTCAAGTTATAAATAGGATAAACGTCATTAAGCTTCATAAAATTAGGAATCAAAATCCTATATAACGAATTCTTTGCCACAAAATAATGACGTTAGCATCATTTTGAACTCATCGTCATCCATATACTTCATTTCCCATACAAATTTATGTTACAAGTATTGTAAGATATTTAAATTAAATGTTAAACAACTTACTATAATTTACCTAAAAGTATGTTAAAAGAAAACCAATTGTTATGTTCATATAAGAAACTTGACTAATGATAAATCAATCATTACAATAGTAGGTTAGGTGAGCATGTACGAATTCTAAAGAAAAACATGAGTTTTATTGTTAAATTGTAAGCATATATGAAATGTTAAACCTCATGACCTAAAACCTTAAAGTCTGACCCAAAGTCAAACTTAGTCCAAAAATCAACTCTATAGTCAAAAAGTGTGTCGTGTGACCTCCTAGGCACTCCATGCCAACTACAAGACAAAATAGTCAAGATTCCAGCTCAAAATAACGACTAGAAAAGCCCCAATTATTAGACTGGAGGGAGTGGTGCTACACTCCCTCCTCCTACCGTGTTTTTTTTACAACACCCAAGGGGTGGAGAGACAGAGGACGAGATAGAGAAAGAAGAGAGAGAGATAGAGATAGAGGAAGAGAGAGCAAGGGAGCGCTCCCAATTTCTACCGTAGTCTCAAACTGCACTTCCAAAACCGCATAGAGGGGGTGGTGTTTCAGTGCCACATCAGCTGAAACCGCACCTGAACCTCACCCTACCCCCTCCAGCCTTACTTCATCTGACGACAACACTGGAAAAAGTTTTAAATTGTCTTTTTCTGGCTGTCAATGAATTTAAACAACTTTATTTGTTTATTTTATAAATCACTTTTATCTTTTTGTTAATTGTAGATAAGATTATTTGTTATATAGATATTTTATTAGGTATAATAAAAATCATTAATTAATTATATTAGTGTTTAGGTTGTAAATTTTATATACATGATAGTATTGAGTTATATAGGACTAAACTTTAAAAATATGAGGAAATAATAAGGGTTTTTTTATAAGTATCTTCTTTTATTTTTCAATCTCATCCTCTTGGTTTGATCTTTTATCTTTTTTATTTATTTATTTATTTGTTTATTTATTATTATTATTATTATTATTATTATTAAATTTTAGTATTATTATTATTATTATTATTATTATTATAAATTTCGTATAAAATTTTAACAATAGAACGACATTATAAATTCGAATGGCTATATAAAATTGGTTTTAAATATTTTTTATATTTTAATATTAATATTATTATTGTTATTATTATTATATATTTCGAACAACATTTTATAAATCAGATATTATAAATTCGAACTGTTATAGAAAATCGGAATAAAAGCAAAATTTATCCTTATTAATTATGGATATTAATTGGTACTATATTACAATTGCATGGTGCGTTATGCGGATTGAAAACATTTAATCGAGCACTATACGATGTTTTCCATGCAGCCAAATGTTATGATTCGTAATTAATAGAGACAAACTTTGTTTTTGTTCTGATTTTATATAACCATTCGAATTTATAATGTCTGATTTATAAAATATTGTTCAAAATTTATAACTATAATAACAATAATAGTAATATTAATATTAAAATATAAAAAATATTTAAATAATGATTTTATATAACCGTTCGAATTTATAAAGTCGTCCGAATGTTAAAATTGTGTATAATAATAATAATAATTATAATAATAATAATAATAATAATAATTTGTGTTAAAAAAGAAAAAAATAATGTCAAATCAAATGTCAAAATTTTGATTTGATTGACTTTAGGGGGAGGGGGGGTAAATAAGGATAAGAGAGTACTTGTAGCACAACTCAATAATAATTAAAGTAAATTGCTCTGTTAAGTTGCAATAAAATCTATCATAAGGCTGGAGGGAGTGGTGCTATTGAAACCGCACTCCCTCCCCCGCCACATAAACGTCATGTTACTTTTTACCACTCAAGTGTGGTTTCTTGCCACACCAACGGTGTGGTGCCACACTTTTCATTTCTTTTATTTTTTTTTGTTTTTTTAAGTATTTTAATTTAATAAAACTTCCTTTTTTTTAACTATTTTAATTTAATATAACTTCTATTTTAATAAAAAAACATAATTTTTCATTACTTGAAAATTAAAAAAAATAGTACATTGCGTTACTAAAAAAAAATAAACTCACACACATGACATTTAAATAATTCTAGAAACTTAAAAAACATAAATAAAATAACTAAAGCAAATTACGTAAATTTTTTTTTGAGAGAATGGTGATTTAAAAAAAAAATAAAAAATTGAGAGAAAGATGAGATTTTGTTGTGAAAAAAAATTAAGTTGGTATGTATATATATAGGAAAGAAAAAGCAAAAAAAAAAAAAAGAAAAGTTTAAATGCTCAACGGATCAATCCTTCCTCAACTAATCAAAACACACGGCTTTAGAGGACCGCACTGCGGCCAAGACCGCATGAGACCGCGGTCTGGGGGCAGTGTTCTCGTCCTATGTGGTACGAAGTGCGGTCTTGGACCGCACCCATACCGTGCAGTCTAATAAATAAAGATAATTTTGCTAAATGTCAACTTTTTATTCAATTTGACACATGTAATTTTCTTAGAATTTTTAATTTTTTTTTCACTTATCATTTTTGTATTTTTTTCATTTTTATTCAACTTCCACCTATTAAATATCACATCGTAGTAATTAATGTGAATTAATGTATATAATAAACATTCCGTTTGTGAATTTTTATTTGTATTTAATGAATTCTATTTATCAATTTATATTAATTAATTAGTTTTATTGGTATAGATTAATTAAGACAAATTACATAAATGGTCCTTATAGTTTATTCTATTTATTTCCAAAGTTTACTTTAAAAATACTTGGTTTTTACCTATTCATATTTAACATGATTTTTTAAAACATGATAATAATATTTTATTAGTATAGATTGAATTACTTATTCATCATTTAATTTATATTTATTTTAAAATTTTACTTTAAAAAATATTTAATGTCTATACCTTATATTTAACTTTTTAATCAATCTATGTAATACACCGATCTCACACCTTATATGTATTTATTAACAATTTGTATTGTGTGTTGTGAGATTTAATTTCAGTGAGGCATCTAAAACAATAATTTCCTGCAACATGCAACATTCAAGAAAGGTTGCCTTAGGATAATAAAAATGCTGCTTTAGTCTAGCATGGATACAACTTCTAAAAAGCGTCGTTCAAGGTGGTCCATTAGTGAACATTTTCTTTCTACACAAATAAACTCGATTGAAGTCACAAAATATATTCCAAATAGCATCTTCTTTGACCATAAAACCATAAGAATATTCGTCCATAAGTTTTTTTTTTCTTTTTTTTTTCTTTTTTTTTTTCCGAATCTTAAAAGACACACTTTAAGCAAAAAGCAAATGATTCTTACACAATTTTTATCCAATGTTTTCCCCAAAATCCCATGTTTATCCCTCCAAATTTTATCAAAGTACTCCATATTTAGGAACCAAGTCTACATGGGTTGAGACTCTTTTGCGAAAAACTTTGCACTCAAGAGAATTTTGTGTAGATTTTGGTAGGGAAATTGTTAGAAAAAACTAAATATTTTCGGAAAAGTTTCATTCTAGCCTCAAATTTTATTTTTTGAACAGAAAATTCTTGATTATTTGATTTTACCCGATAGTATATCATTTCCTGCTATAAGAAACAAAAAAGTTAAGACTTTTTTTTATTAAAAAATAAACTTTAAGACTAAATGAAATTTTTCTGAAAATAACTTTTAGACAATTTCACATTTTGATACAAGCGCTTTACTACAATACCCAAATGTCATAAACACAATTAAAGAGTAATTACGCACCTTCATCCGAAGGTAAAGAGTGTGTTTCCATAAAGCAATTTCGTGAAAAGATCTAAATATCAAAACTTTACCTTCTTTCATAGACACTCAAAGTCTCACACCGAGAAATAAATTTATAAAACCAACAAACATCCTCCTTATGCTCTAACACACTCCCACCCCACCTCTTCCCCTTATTAACCGTCTCTATATATAAATTAAAAAATAAATTAATTAAAAAAAAACAAATAAACAAAACTGTCCTCTCCCAAACACAACTACCAAAACCGGTGCATTTTAGCGTTTACCACCACCAGGTTTCTTAACAGAAGAAGGCAGAGGATTCTGATTCTCATCATCATCCGATTGAATATCACCATACTCCCATATCCCCAACCGCGCTTTACTCGCCTCCGCCTGACACTTCTCCAATTCATCCAAAATTTCTTGTTTCTCTTTCGGCTCCCACCTCCTCCTTTTCTCCAATCTCGCCACTCCCTCCTGAAATCCCAACAAAAAAAAAAAACCTAATTTCACTTCTATCCATAATAGAAACACAAAGGGTTTTGATTTTTTGAATAACTTAAACAGAGTACAAACCTTGAGCATTATAGCATTAACGCTCTCACCAAATTCCTCATCGATCAAAGTCACCATGAGAATATTCCCGGTTCCTTGCCCTTTGACTTTTCCACCAGACACATCTCTCTCTTCAATCACGGCTCTGAATTCCTTCGGACCGTTTAATGTGGTGTCGCTTAGAAGCATGGCTGCTTCATGACCGTAATCCTCCTCCAATGTTGGAACTTTAAGATACGCGAGGCTGCACAGCTGAGCCATCCCTGGTGCAGATGATACAGATTGATCCAACGGACGTAATTGATTGTAGGTCACGACTTCTTGGTTTCCATAATCCATGTAGAAAACTTCGAATTTGTCTTTGATTGATTCAACAGCGCCACGTGGAGTGTTCACAACCATTGCTCGGTTCCATGAATTATCTGCAGTGAATTGAGCAAGGACGATATCGCCTTTTTTGGGGTTGAATGAGCCGATAACCGGAGCTTCTTTTAGGGTTAAAGAAGCGAGTTGGTTTTGAATGGCGGCGACTTTTTGATCGGAAACCGCCTGGACGTAAAACTTGCCGCCGCCTAGGACTTCCGTCACCACCGCCTTGAATTCCTCTTTCTGCTTTTTATCTTGAGTTTGACCATTCGTAACTTCCACTCCTTCAACATAATTTTCCCATATCTGCACAACAAAATTTTATTCTTAGTTTCAAATTTAAGTAAAATGACTATTTGTTCCATGAGTGTAACTGATTTTTGAAGTTTTGGTCCGAGAAAACTTTTCAGGACTAAAATTGAAAGAATCGGTAAAATTCAAGGGCCAAAAGTGTAATTTAATATAAAATAGAATCAAAGCTTTCTTGCCTTCAATTTCTGTTTCTTGGCAAACTGTTCAGCCTGAGCAAGAAGATGAGCATCTGGAATCCTATCACTTCCAAATGAAGTCTGAAGCCTTGCGAGACCAGCTTCTAGAAGTGTAATCGCAACGTTTGTTTTCGAGTCCCATAAAGAACCCAAGAAAGTACCCGTTCTATCAACGGTTTCCACTTCAATCTGAAATTAAAAATTATAATAAATAAAAATTAGTATAAAAAAATGGAATTACGAAGTAGTACCTCAACATCTCTCTGCATTATTTTCCGTCTCATAAATGAAATCGCTTCATTGGAATACGGCTCCTCCCGACCTGGACATCGGACACCCGAAAACGAGAAAGCAATGCTGCACGTTTCTTTAGGAACAAAAAGCTTAAACCGATGACCACTGAGAACGTATTCAACAACAGCCGACATTCTCCGATTCCGTTGTAGAAAAGGTAAAAAATCCTTCGCTTTCTTCGCCGATGCCTGAACGGAATCGGAATTAGAATTAGAAATATTTCAAATTCGGTATAACACATATCACTAGAATACTAACAGTTAACAGATCGGTGACATGCATAACCGGAGGATCTTTGGAAGAATGAATTCCTTTTCTTCCGGAAGTTGCGCGAGATTCAGCAGCAAGAAGAGTCTCATAATGATTCGATCTTTCTTCAAAATCTCGATGTCTGATTACAGTGCCAAACCCACGGGCAATAACAAGCTCAGCGACGTTTACACCTGGCTGTTGTGAAATGTCCAAACCGTCCTTCCCTTGGGACAACAAAAACACAGAGCCAAACCCCATTACTCGTGTATCAGTAGGCCCGGTAGGAGCCGCCGCCGAGCCGTCGGCTGTCGGAACCTTCCGTGAGTACTCCATTGAAACTTTAACCTAAATAAACAACAAAACAAGTAAATAACATTTTCCTGTTGGGGTTTTTATAAAATTTTACTTACTTGTTTGCCAATTAAGCGTGTTCTTAAGAACTCCCTGGCTTCACGGGCATATGGGGCGGGTTTTTCGTCTCTTCTGGGATTTCCTAATTTGGGGCACCGGATGCTTGAAAGGTTCACTCGTCTTTCTGCTGATGGACTACCGAATGGGGAAGAATCGTCTGCAACAATAATGCAGTCCCCACTCACAACTTCAACCACCTTTCCGCTGAAATTGTCTGAAATAGCCTTCGAATTTGTAGCTGGAGGTATGTAATTTGTCCAGAGTCTTATCTTATTCTTCTTTGCTTGAAGTTCTGCAGCTTTTAACTTCCTTCTAGCTTCATCTTCCATCATACTTGCACTCCACTCAACATACTTGGCAAACCCCTAACAGAACCAATCATTGTATAAATATCGTTCGAGTCACATAAAAAAAAGTGAAAAGTGAAAACAGAATTACATTTTCTATAAGCTCAAGAGCAAGATCCTTTGCTGATTCGCCATCAGGGTAATACACTGAGCCTATCAAATTGCTAAACTTGTCAACACCTTCTAGAACAATCCGGACCTGTAAATTACTTTGTTAATTGTTACACAAATTGGTAGAAAAAGTGAAAGGGAGAGAGAGAGAAATAACTTACATCTCTATTTAGAACACGAATCTCACTAAAATGTTTAGCTTCCCTTCCATAAGGATCAGGGGCAACTTCATTGTAGGTTGACGAGACTGTAACTCTTTGTGCTGATGTTAACGAGCCACGAATCTCAGAATTTGAATCTCCATTGAGTTCTTCAGAGGGCATTTCGGTAATTGTAGCAGGTTCAACCGTTGTTCTTCTTCCCATTGATGGTGCCTAGGCAACAATCAAAGGACTAAATTAGGGCAACATATTTATTAAGATAATTACATTGGTGATGAAAATGAGAGATGCATATATATACCTGGATTCCAGCAACAAACACTTGAACAAATTGAAACTCTGGAAGCAGATAAACACGAAGTGAGCTCCCATCACGAACTTGCTCTACAATTGCTTCCATGGATCTTCCTTTATTTGAAGCTAAGAGCCCCATTGCATCCAAATTGCTTGGGTCACCAACAGCTGATGGTGGAAGGTTCCTGATTGCAGCTGCAGTAGCACCAGGAGACTGAATCCACCGATTCAACACGGTGATCACATATCAGCAACAAATGAAGATAAATCAGTAACAGTATGGTGTGTGAAAGTACGATACTAACCCTGTTCCATAGACCTACTCCTTGTTGCCTAGCTTGTTCTTCAATGCGTAGCAATTCAGCATGTTCAGGAGTCACCTCTCCTTTAGCCTCCTTAACCTGTAATTACCATTTTCAGCTATGGCATAAGATTTCAGAATTGTGAGAAGATAAAGATAAAGGGAAGGTGAATTACCTTTGCCCAGCCATGAGTAACAACCTCCTTTGCAATATTTGTAGTACCAATGAAGAGACTGCAAAATTCCCTGGAGAAATTTGGGATGGTGTATTCCGTTTTGAAAACAACATCCTAGCAAACAGACAGAAGTAAGATGAATTAATTACCTTGATATAGATTTTATAAATACAAGGTGACAAATAGAAGATGGTTTTTATGATTTATGAATAAGCACCTTTCCTACGCACAACTTTCGTAAGAATTCTCTGCTTTCCCATGCAAATGGGTCATCGGTGCCTCCTCTACGGGCCTACACAAAGAAAATAAATTTAATGAATTGTATATGTGATAATCAAGAAATTAAAGTGTACATAATGTATCTCAAATCTCAATATAACTAGCTACAAGTTTTAAAGCATAGTGAAGTCAAAAAGGGCATACGAGTCTTGGGGCTGAAAGATGAGCCAAAACTATAGTCTTCTCCGGGGGGATTTCAGCTTTGGTAAATCCCATTATCAGCAAGGAGTCTCCAGATGGAACAGCTTTCACTCTTCCTCTGAGCCACCCTGAAGTTGCAGCTGCTTGCGCCATTACAATTTACAACCACTTAATATCTGCAAATATAAAACATTCACCACATTGGAAAGAAGCTTAGAAGTAGTGAACGTATTAACATATATAAATGTAAATAGCAGTTATATATTATTAAATCATCTTTTTTTTTCAAAAGAATGGCCATAACACAATATCCAGGTCGGTATACAATAATGCAAATATAGAAATCAGAGTAAGACGAAAACACATTCATGCAATAGCGTTCGTGATCATTAAATAAAACCGCAGCCGATCTATTGATAATAAGCTACACTTCGTAGTAGTGTAAGAGTGCTGAAAGGCCTAAATTAAAACATATCGAATAAATAAGTATCAGTTTAAGATCTGAAAAGGGACGATACCTGAAGGCAGAATCCGATGGATTGATCAACGAACTCAAACACACGAAAACCGAAAAGCGGAATTATAAAATAAAACTAATAAGAAACCAGAACTGAAACGTATGACTATCAAAATCTAGACATAATAAATGCCGATTCGCATCGGAACTGATACTTATTCGAAATTGAGAGAACGGGAATTATCCAGACGGCGGATCAAAGGTGAAAACCTCGAGGAATGTTTTTGATACTAAAAAGCAAAAGAGACGTATTTATGTAGCTATGAATATAACTTGGTAGTGATATTGCCCTCCTCTACAGGTGAAATTACTATAATGCCATTAAGTGTCGCATAAATGTTGAAGTTGCTTGAGCGAGATATATGGACTAAAGTTTCAGTATTTTTATAGGTTTGATAAAAAAATCTTAAACTTTATTTTTTTACAATAAATAAATAAAGTTTAGAAATTTCTTATTAAATTGATAAAAAGATTAGAACTTTAATATATATATATATAACCCTACTTTAATAGCCAATAAGAAAATATGTTGTCAATATGACTTTTTTATTGATGATTTAGGTTAGTTGATTGAAAATTTTGATTTTTACATTGTAGTTTTTTCAATTAACTTATTATATTTATAATTTTGTTCTAATATCAATCAAATGATTCGTTCTTCATGTTTTCCTAATAACCATTTTCCCAATTATGACATTACATTTACAATTTTGTTGTAGTGACAACAAATTGATCGATTATCATCGATCTAGAAGGTTATCAAATAAACAACGTGACAATATTGTGATGTAAAAGTCATGTCGGATCTTATGTGGCAAGATTGAGTTTCAAATATAGGGTTTGCATCGAACCCAATTTCACATATCTTCTTCTCTTCTTCTCCTATTCTTATCAGAGTATTTCATTACAAATGACGTCTGAAGGTCGATCGAGTGGTTTTAACTCATTTACAAATAAAAAAACTGGCATAGCACCCTTTCAAGAGATGTTATTATGGTTTAGAAGCTTAATTGTGAAAACCCCTACAAGGTCGATCCAATGGTTCAAACTCACTAAGTATCTCCTAGATCGACATTGTAGGAGTTTTTATTTACTTGTTGTGCAAATCGAGCTTTTAAACAATAATAACATCTCCTAAAAGGGTAAGTATGCTATTTTCATTGACTTTAAAGCGAGTTTGAACCACTGGATCGATGAAAACCATATATTTGAAATTTAATCGTGCCACATAAGATCCAACATGGCTTCCACATCATAATATTGCCACGTTGTTTATTTAGTAACATTCTATATTTGGTAACTGGTTAATTCGTTGCCATGGAAACAAAATTGTAAATGAAATGAACAAAACATTGTGTTAAAATCGAATTTTAGTAAATTTATTGACTTTATTGCAATTTGGGAAAAGTGGTTACCGAGAGAACATGGAGAATTAGTCATTTGGTTGATATTACAAGAAATTTGTAATTATATTGACTTAATTGAGAGGGAAAAAATATACGATATCAAAATCAAAACACTTTTCACACCAAGACTTAACTTCTTGCAAAGTTGCAAATGGATCTTCAAGAAGAATATGTACTTTGATTAAGTCCAGTTTGCCTTTTACTCTTATCCCTTAGGATTATTATCCCTAGAATATAAGCAGCCTCTCCTAGATCCTTCATAGCAAAACACATTCCAAGCCAAGACTTAACTTCTTGCAAAGTTGGAATGTCATTTCCTATAAGAAGTATGTCATCAACATACAATACTAGGAAGGTTACTATACTCCCACTAGCTTTGACGTATACATAAGACTTATCTTCACTTCAAGAGAAGCCAAAGTCTTTGACCTTCTTTTCGAAACAAAGATTCCATCAGCCAGAAAAGACCGATTTGTTTATTCTTGATTTTGAAAATCAGAGTATCTTTTAAAGAAATACGTTGTGGAATTTATTCCAAGAAAAACATGATAAATATGTTATCAAATCGAGGAAATGTATTTTATTTATTTTAAAACTTTAGGATGTCATCGTTAATACATGAACATAAACATAAACAGAACTTACATTCATTTACACTAGTGATTTTACATCTCCTTTAATCTCTCAGTGTAACGTAGCTTCGTATCGACACTTGTGATACAAATAAATTTAGTGGGTCAGGTTGGAAAACCTGGTGAGTACATCGGGGTTTTCAATCCACAATAATAAAATTATTATGTTTTATCATCAGACAATTAACTCAATTACTCATCCCTATTATCTTCTTTTATTTCTTAAGGATCTGCCCTAAGAATAATCTATCACTCATTCCTAAGGATTCCTCCTAAGGAATAGGCATGATGTCTCATCGTCGTCAGGGTTTATACAATATGCACTGAGTCCATATCGCTGCCAGGGTTTATACAACATGTGCTAAGTCCATAGCTCTCATTTATTAAGAATCATTTATCACTTATTCCTAAGGATTCCTCCTAAGGAATAGGCACGAAGTCACATCGTCGCTAGGGTTTATACAACATGTGCTAAGTCCATAGCTCTTATTTATTGACAATATTATTTTCGAGAGTCCACTCACAATACATGTTAATAGGATTTTAGAGTACATCTAATGAATATATTGTTCACACAGCTACAGGTTGCGATCCTGTTAGTGTTCCACGAACCGTCTAGAATAGTCCATGGTTGTCATCCATACTTTACTGAATGACGAGGGCCAATGTTTGGGTAAGGGCTTCTCTCATATTCCACCTCTCACCCTCAACTCATGATCTATATCACTGATCATCTGATTCATCCAACTCATCTTTCATCACATACCAACTATTTCATCTACCCATGTTTTACCCAACATTTTTGTAGATATAAAATACATATACAGTTGAAATCATTTAAGACCTGTATAAATCATTCATTCAACATCCATCTCAAATAAACAAACAATATATATTCACATAGCACGTATTTTATATAAAATACTTCATATCTTTGTGTAAGATGAAAGTAACTATGCACTCACGTGATTTAACGATAATCGGGCAACACTTCATATATCTTAAAACAATCGTTTCCGATGAAACCGGGAGCTTTATTGAAAATCGGGCCTTGCGAGGGTTGAGCTTCAAACTGAAAAGATAAATTTCTCGGAGTTATCGGGCACTTCAGGACATTCTTCAGGTGTTAGGTGTGATCCCGGGGCTTCAAGGGATGTTGGTATAGCTTAAAATGGTTTAGAGGTGAAAATGTGTGAAATTTGGTAACATTAACCGGGAGGGTTCGCACCTCCCTTTATATAGGGCGAGGCCTCAGACCGAAGGTGGAAGGGAGAAGGCACGCGAAAACAGCGAGGGGGAGGAGGGACACACGTCGGATGCGAGGCAAGGCAGGTGGTAACAACGAGGCGAGGTGGCAAGGCACACGACTTGGTTCGCAGGCGAACACGGGTCCGAGCTCGGATGTGCCACCGGTACGACGTGCATTGCTTTGCAATTGGACCTGTGCTTCGAAATCACCTGCTCGGACATGGGGCGGGCTCGCATGCTAGGCGCCGTGGCCGAACCTTGACCTTGTGTATGCGAAAATTCTCGGTTTTTATGCTCCGAACTTCAAAAATTCATAACTTTCGGATACGAGCTTTGTTTCCGATGTTCTTTATATGCATGCGTAGGTGAGATTATACTCTAAAACTTTCGTTTAGACTCTGTTGGCTAATTTTGAATTTATATTTTAATATTATTATTTTTAACATATCGGGACAAGAAATTCCGTTAAAAATTCATAACTTCTTCATCCTACGTCCGTTTTCATCTATCTTTTCACCGTTGTAATGCTATTGACGAGACCTTCGATTCTCGTTTAGGTTGTGTCGGCTAAAAATCACTTGATATAAAATTCGAGTTTTTAGCTGTCTACTGTTAAGCTGAAACTTTGGAAAATCATAACTTCCTCATACGAAATCAGATTTGGGCATTATTTTTATGCACGCTTCCGATTTAACGAACACTACGTCTTTCATATAGATTGCTAAGGCTAAAAAGCACTTTATCATAAATTCACTTTTTATGTCACACAACGTCATGTCGGTTCTGTCGCGAAACTTCGACAGGTCATAACTTCTTCGTTATAACTCGGATTTCAGTATTCTTTATATCTCCAGAATCCTTATTTTAACCACTACAACTTTCTTCATAAATATCAGGTTTATCCAATATTTATTTTCGACGTATATTTTTATCCATTAATTTATTAAATCACAATAATTAAGTTTAAAGCACATAAATTCACATAATTTATTCTTATTACTTCAAAACATGTTACAATAGTTAACTTGGACTATTAGGATACTTTGCATGAACAAAACCCTTTGCATTACATTATTAGGATACTTTGCATCAACAAAACCCTCTGACTAACTCATGTAAACATCCTTAGCCAACTTCTCATTAAGGAAAGTGGTTTTGACATCCATCTGCCAAATTTCATAGTCATGAAAGGAAGCTATGGCTAGCATGATCCTGATAGATTGTATCTAAGCTACTGGTGAGAAGGCTTCGTTATAGTCAACCCCCGGTGGTTTGAGTAAAGCCCTTCACAACCAACCATGCTTTAAATGTGTGCACATTACCATGCATATATGTATTCTTCTTGAAGATCCATTTACCAAACCGAATGGGGTGAAATTTCTCAGGGGAGCTATTAGCAGAGATGCTAGTTTCATTAGCAACTTAGCCATAAAGAGAGCTGAAGGCTTTGTGAATTTGATGCGCCTTCTTCCACAATTGTCTAGCCCACAGGAAATCGGCACCTCCTCTACAGCAAGGATACCCTGGCCGATTTCCTCCTCTCTCCTCTCTCTCAAATCATTCTCTTTGCTAGTTGGTGTTTGTAAGCCATTAGAGGAGTGACAATTGTGACTCTAAAGCTCCAAGAACAAGAAGATCAAACAAGTGGTTTAAGGTATGATTCTAACTCTGGTTTTGTATTGTTCTTTTACCTAATTAGCCATTAGGAGTCTTGGATTCAATGCATGTTTAATTAGAGAAACCTAGATCCAAGCATTAGGGTTTGTATGCGCACATAGGAATGTTCTTATGTACAAAACCCATCAATTTTATGTGCCTTATACTTATTTATAAAATATAATAAATTAACAGTGAAAATAAGTGTCACAAATAAAAGTGTAGATAAACTCAATATCTATGAAGAAAGTGGTAGTGGTCGTGACTAGGATTCTGGAAGTATAAAGAACGTCGAAATCCAAGTTATAACGAATAAATTATGACCTGCCGATATTTTACGGCTAAACCGGCACGACATCCGCTTAACGTAAAAAGT